GTCTTTTTTGATTTTGTCTTTGTGCAAGGCATCAAATCCAGGGCCTCTGAGCTACAGCCTATCAACTGTCATTTTAAAGTAGTAACCTATTAGTGTTATTTTTTTTGTATGTGTGGTATTGTTTTTTCAAAAATGTATAAACCAGTAGACCTAGTGTTAACTGGATTGAGTTCTTTTAACATTTTTGAGCTTTTGCCTATCAACCATTATAGGATGCAGAGCTGACTCTATACCCTCAGCGTTTGCAGTTTAATGGGAGAGATAGGTAAAACTGTATTAACATGATAATCAGGTGTGTGCTAGCTAGGCTTGGTAGCACAAGCCTGTAATCCCAGCACTCTGGGAGGCTGAGGTGGGATCATCACACGTTCGAGCCCAGTTTGGGTAATTTGGAAACTTCTTGAGACACTGTCTTAAAATTTTTAAAACCACAGAAATTGGCTGGGGGTATATCTCAGTGCAAAGGTCCTTCGTTCAACTACCGTAACACTAAAACAATGGGCATGTGATATTTATTGTATGAGTGGGATTCAGAGTATGAATTTAATTTAGGTGAATATGTGTAAAAAATAGATCAGAATTCATGCATATTTTAAGTCTCTCGAACTTTTCCCAATGGTTTTCTAATACTTTCCTGATGTTTTTTGGTAATGAGAGGATTATATGTTCATATGTAGAATGATTGTTCCTTTTGGTTTTGCTTTGTTGCGTGGTGCTAGGGATCAAATCCAGGGTCCCATGTGTGGCAGGCAAGTGCTCTAACACTGAGCTGTGCCCTCAGCCCCCAGTGATTGTTTTTAAAGTTGTTTTGCGGGGTAAGCCACTGTTTGATTTTCATTTTATTTTTGTGTGTGCTGCTGAGGATGCACCCAGGGGTTCAGGCAAGTGCTCTATCATTGATCTATATCGTAACCCTTTGTAAATTTTATTTTGAGACAGGGTTTCATTTAGTTGCCCAGGCTAGCCTCAGACTTCTGATCCTGCTGGCTGAGGCTCCAAAGTAATGGGATTACAGGAACTGGCCTTGGGTCGTGGCCACACTCTGATTTTTTAATGGTATTCTGACCAGCTCACTATAGAAAAGAAAGCAGTAAAGCTTATAATTCTTTTTTTTTTTTTTTTTTTTTTTTTTTTTTTTTTTTTTTTTTTTGGTTTTTGAGACAGGGTCTCACTAGGTAATTGAGAATGACCTGGAACTCACTATGTAGCCCAGGCTGGGCTCGAACTCACAGTAATCCTCCTGCCTCAGCCTCCCGAGTGCTGGGATTACAGGCGTGCACCACCATGCCCGGCTATAATTCTTGAATTGGATCAAAGAAAGCAGCTACTTATCAAATTGGTCTTGTAGCCTGGGTTTAGTAAAGAAATTTTTTTCACTTTTTTTATTCATTAAGTTTATTGGTACATTTTGGGTATATAATATGATGACATTCATCATTGGGAAGTTGTACGTTTACAAACTATATCTTGGTTCTTTTTTTTCCCTCATTCTCCTGCCCTCTTTTCAACCCCTCTACCCCTCCCTATTTACAAAGACTTTATTTCCATTTAGTAAAGAATTTTTTTTTAAATGTCTGAAGATATTTGGGACTTTTGGATGGCTTAGAAGGTGAGTTTCTGTTTAGATTAAGTAGTGTGTTACTTTTCTTTTTTTTGTGGTACTGGGGGATCGAACTCAGGACCTTGTGCTTGCCATGCAGGTGGTGGAACCACTGAGCTAAATCCCCAGCCCAGATAGTGTTACTTTTATGTGGTACATTTTAAAAGCGAAGTTATAATTGAAGATTTTAATTTCTAAATTGTATAAATTGGTTCACATTTTTCTGTATCATTGAAAACATTTTATGCTCTCTATCTTGAGGAGTATTTCTATTCTAATCAGATTATGAGTTTTTGAGATTAGGCGACCCACTAGGTTCCCGCAGAACTTGAAAATTGAGAATATATTTGTTGGGTGAGTGGTAGAGCATGTACCTAGCATGCACGGTGCTCTGGCTGGGTTCAATCCCCAGCACCCCTCCCCATCGTGTTTAACTATAGTACAATGAAAACCGTACTATAGGGGGAGGGCACAATATGAGAATTTCTAAAATATTCCTCTCTGCCTCTTTCCTGTTCTCCCTCCTTTCCCTCTTTTCCTCTCTTTCTTTCTGTGCCCCCCCCCCGTTCCTATACTGGGAATTCAGGAAATACTGAGGAAAAACATTCAGGTAATACTGAGCTATAGCTCTTTTTATTTGATTTTGAGGCAGTTCTTTTTTTTTTTTTTTTTTTTT